CTGTACACCGCGGTCCAACTACTTAGCTTCAGCAACTTTTGTGGAAACCGTTCTACTGGGATCTGCGACACTCTAAGCTGGATGTAGATCGACGCCCCGTCTCCATATCAGCTTCTTAGTAGCTCCAGGCTCCGAATTGAAAAAATGCAGGGCTAGATCTAAATCACGGAGCTGCAGTTAATTCTACATAATCGATTTAAACTACTGTAGCCGCGACAGTTTGAGTGGCCGCGATTCCGAACGTTTGCTAGCCGTTTGGTACACTAAGTTACTGGTCGATAAAAAGCGTCAGGTTCCAGCATCACAGGCAGAACTGGAGCCCTGCCGGGTGCCCGGACTCCAGCAACCATGGTGAAGTCACTGAAATCGAGCAAACAAATGGTGGAGGTCTACATCAAACACCTCGCTGGTCGGTGGCTGACCATCTGGAACTGACCTGAGCGATTCTGTGGCAGCCGAGGGTTGCAACCAGCAGGCTGTACTTGGAAGCTCATGGCACTTAGGTGGAAGATGCCGTGGATCAGGCAGAAATCCTGTCATTTGGCAGTGTTTGTGCCAAGAGCTCAGAGTAGCATAATCGTTTGGAAGGCATGAGCAGCAAAGGGACTAGCCGCTGCAGGTCCTCATTGCTACGCTGTGCTTCCTGGCATACTTGCCGAGCATCCCCTTTGAATTAGCCGTTGACGACTCAGTCTTGAGCATGTGGCTTTGTGTCTTGCACACGTGGACAGAGCTGCCAGTCCTTCTCCATCTACAATCCATCCAATTGGATGGTCAAGATCACAGCCTTGGAGAAACTTTGGAAGGTCTCAGCCTCGGCACCACCACCATCACCGACCGAGAAGTGTTGCAAAAACCACCCGCTCCTCTCTCTTTAGGACTTTCAGCCCGATGTTTGGCTCCGTCTGCTTCCTGGATCTTCTTGCTGCTAGCCTGGCAATGATGGTGATGAAGACAACTGAAGGTCTGGTAGTTGACGGGCTTCTGCTGGTCGAAGACTTGACCTGCAAGCCTCCTTCTTCTGGCCTGTGATGCATTCTCTTGTTCAAGGTCTATCTTTGCAACGCTGTCTTCTTTGGTCAGCTCGGTGCACCAGCATACGGCTGGGGTGCCCTGGGAGAGTGGTGGAGCAATTTCTGGAAGTATGACCTGAAGGACATGCTGCATGGATCTGTTGCAAGGTGAGCTTGTGCCCGAAGCCGTAAGCAAGAATCAGCATCATAACGAGGGAGCGGGATAGGGACGAGCAGTGAAGCTCTTGAGTGAGTGATCTCCTGCAAGCCGTGTCGGATCGCAGCAAATATTGGATCCCTGAGCCCAGCACGATGGCTGAAGGCGCATTGGTTGCCACAGCGGGACTGGAAGATTCCTGACGACTTGCTAGGCACGGATGAGCCCGGGGTTGTCAAAGCCATGAAGGCTTTGATCCAGTACCTCGGACTTGGGCCGATGCAAGCATGAGCATGGCATCTTTCAGTCTGGGCCTGCCCTTGCCCAGGCGCACAAAATTTGTACAAGAGACTGCGGGCCGAATGAGGCCCACATACTGTTGCATGCAGTTCTTTGCGTGCTAAGACTTTTTTCGGGGGTTTTAACACTGCTGTAAGTATTCGGTCTCTGTTACGTACTTGTGGGGTGATGGAAAGATACGATGGGGCAACTGTTTCATCATTCGCTGTATGCCGCAATGTGATTCAATGTGCGCGCAGGGTTTGGTGCAAAGAGCGCTTCACTGCGGACCGCTGGCTTGACGAAAATGAACGAGAGTGGTGCCCCGTCGGGCGCAGCATGTAGAGTTATGTAGCACAGTGGAGAAGAGAAGTGGAGCGTCAAAGGTTGTAGCATATTGTAACGTGCGAAGGTATGCGCTGGATCGCCTGTGCCGCTCAAGGCCATGGGCAAGAAATCGAGACAAGGCAGCGCAGGACTTCTGAATGGGGGCTGGACACAATTCGGAAGCATGTGGAAGCACTGGTCATCTGTGCTTCTGGATTCGGGTGATGGCCTCACGATGTCATCATTCACTGATTGCGCAGGTTTGGTACACTTGCATGCGTCAGATCTACGCTCACAGCTCTCATTTTGTGTGTAACAGAAACCAAAACATGGTGGATTGTTGCGTGTAATCCTGCTGCTTGCTCTGCAGGCTTTTCCGTACCCGTTCCGCCTGGCAGCTGCACATGTGCCACGCACTGCAAGCTCCATACCTGCTACTCGAGCATGAGGTGATGCGACCAGGAGAATGATCAAAGTGGAGGGCGACTGGGTGGGCGGCAGTCGACCTGACATCTCCGCATTGTTGCTTGATGGCAGGCTTCAAGGGTCAGAGTGTAGAGCCTCTTTTGGAATAGTCAGCACCCTCCTGTTTAGCTGAGGGAGGCTCGCCGACCAGGTGTCGACTGCGAGGTGCGGCACAAATAAAGTCCGGAAACAGCGCGAATGCCTCAAGATGAACGTTGCCAGGTCATCAGTCCACTCAATTGCCCCCCTCATTTTCCTCCTGAACATCGTGTCCTTCTTTTTGCACCAGAATTTGGCAGTGACCGCTCCTTCGACATGGCTCCTAATCCTCATTACGCGCGACTGTGTTCTGTAAACCTGATTGACGAGTGTTGTAATGTACCTGCTTCTGCGTGGAGCCTATGAGATTTGCTTGAGTCAGGACATGTGGAGCTTCATCGAGCCGGATGATCAAGTCGATCTGTCGGTGGCACCTTTGGTACACAATGGTACACAGAAAGCTTCAGAGGGTACGGTAGCAGCTGTAGCAGAGACTCAACTCCTCGTTCTCTGGGCAGGCTGTCAGGTTGTGCTTTGTGCGCTTCCTGCTTTCCCATGCGTGCGAGTCCTGCCTCAAGGTGTTGTCGACTGTTGCCTTGCTCGCGGGAACAAGCCTTCTGTCGTTACGTTTTCTGCTGAAGGTCTTTGTGCAATGCGCATTTCTGTGACCTTTGGATCCTTGGTCCTTGTTTTTGATTGTGGGCTTGCTAGTGCTGCTAGTGGAGGAGGAAACTCTGACAGGAAAGAGAACAGGTTTGGGTACTCACTGCATTGGACAGGCCTGAAAGGTGTGAAGACACTACCCGCAGAGGAGATAGGGAAACAGCAGCCACCGAACTTTCAAGCAAACGAGCAACAAAGTTAAAGAGCAAACGCCAAGCTCCCAACCTGGCAGCTTGCATGGAGTTTCAAGAGTGAGTTCCAGCAATGAGGCCCAACAAGGGCTCCTGCCAATCCAGATGCAGAAGAACTATAAATGCTCGAGCAGAAACAAACAAAACGCTGGAGCAGGCCATCAAGCCGAAGATGCGAACACCATCAAGAGCAGAGCAACTATGCAAGGGACCCTATGCCAGTGCTGCTGCTGCTGCTGCTGCTGCCGCTGCGGATTGAGCACGACAACGCCGACAAGGGGTATGTAAAAAGCCCTGCATTGCAAGGGTACGTAGCAGAGGCTTGTGCGCGGGGCGATTGGGCACAGGCTTTCGACTCACTCCCATTCGTACGTGTGAAAAGGCTACTGCATAGCTTGCTTTCTGCTCCGCTCTGACCACTCGGTGTGTCCGATAAGGTATGCTGGAAAGGATGGTCAAATTTCGATGCGATGATCAAGCAAGTCCTTGAGAAGGTCTCCAGTTTTCGCTTTGACTTGCTTGTGAAATCAAGGCGGTGCAGCCGCCTTTGTGCCAGGTTCTCTCTTTTGCGGACGGCGTCAACACTGTCTGGTTCGGGCAAGGACCATTTCCTGTGTGCACAATCACCACCCCAATGGCAGAAGTAGTAGAACTTGATCATCCGTCATGTGATTCGCCGCATGCCAGGCATGGGTGCTATTGTCGCCTATGAATTGCTGAAGCTGCTCGATGCTCGCCGCACAAAGTTCTTTCACTTGCTCTATCAGTAATTTTCTATCTTGGGTCGAAGTCAGGAGTTGCAGGAGATTCAGACTCCGAACTTGCCAGTCGCTTTGGTGGGGCGCCTGAGTTCACTTGCATTTGCTTTTTCCCGTGTGGACAGAGTGGCTGCTTGCTGTCTTCTTCTAGTTTCGTCGATTATGGTTGTCATGTCATCTCACTCATTTTTGAGCCCGTTCGTGCTTCGCAGACGAACCCAATAACCATTGCATACATGAGAAGGTCATCTCTGACTGTCCTGCACCGCATGTGTTCTCCGAGAAGTACCGACCGTGTTGACCTCACTTTTGGACTCGAAGTTGTGCATAACCGCGCTGAAGACATGGCATGTCAATGTTCAGGTTTATGCGGCTGATCTCTTGTTGGATTGAGGTACAGCGAAGAGAGCTGGCTGGGCCAGGTGGCCCAGTACTCCGCCATGAGGCAGAAGGAAATTGAAGAGGTGCGAAGGTTTTCGCTCTAGAGTCTTGTGTTTAGCCTCGGCTCCTTCGCCAAGATCGCGCAGGTCGTGTCCATGATGAAGTCATACAGGCTGGCCGTCTACCAAGTTGCAACTAGTCATCTTGGTCCCAGATTCCCATATTGGGTACTCATGCTTTGCCTACCTTGCTGTCGCCTTGTGACTGCTGGAGTACTGGGGCTTCTACTTCTCGTACTTTCTGTTCACGCGGTGAGATAAAGACCATTAAAGACCCCTGGGCGAGAATTGATGTGAAGGCCCCTCTTCCTGGCAGAAGATAGATGTTGGTACTAAGGAAGTCTTCGTGGTATTGTTTCTAGAGCGCTGCACTTCCATGGGGCAAACTGCGATACGCCTCTCATGCGGAGGTTTCACCACGGCGAAAGAAAGAAGTTGTTGGTGCCCGTGGCCGCGTGCTGTCACACAGGGAGGAGCTTTTTTGATGCAACGTCCGTGCAGGTTTGTGCCTAAGGATGTGGCAGTTCTCCATGGATGTAACCTGTCCTGGAATTGCACCCACAGGCTTGGGCTGACTACAGCCCAGAGCCTTTCGCATTCCATGACTTGGGCGAAAGTCAGGACTCCACTTGCTCAGCAGGTCAGTGGCCGTCCCTTGAGGCTTTGAGTGACGGTTTCCCTGTCTCAGGAGCAAGAGTGGTACCTCGATGGTTTGGGCCCGGCGCTACAGCCCGAGCCAGCTCTTCTAAGTGTGATCAGCACGACCCTCTCCTGCACCGTTGGTGAACTGCATGGGCTGGGGCAAGGCCTAGGAAAAGTGCAGCAGACGTGATCTAGCACCAAGCTTGGGCTCGCATACGATTCAAGGACCTGCTGCAACTTCAGCCGTTGGAATGATGCAGACTACCCAGACATCGGACCTGTTGATGGATCGATTCCGACAGAGGTGGATTGTGTCATTGTTGGGGCTGGCATCGCGGGCGAGGGTCTTAGAGCAGCCTTAGTTCAGATACAGCTCAGCTAAATTCAGCTAACATGAATGGCTTCACCTTGCAGTTGAGCCGAGGCATCTATCAGGCCAAGGTCATGGACGAGGCGAGCAAGTCCTTGGTTGTCTTTGACCGGTACCACATCATTGGTGGCGTTTGGGAATTCTACGGCAATGACTACTCCAGAGTCAACACGTCAGAGAAGCTAGACAGAGAGAAGTGGCCAGTCGAATCTTGTAATTCAAGAAAGCCAGCCCAGGATCGGCTACCGCGTGCTTGACAAAAAGGGAATGTGGACGCGCCCGAATGAGGATCACACGCCTCGACGGGACATCATGCGGGACATCTATGAAATTGCCAGCGCTTGTGGCGGCAAGCAAATCCGCTCCCATCGATTGTGGCTAAGGGTGTGCCGCTAGCCGAGGTAAGCACGCTTACGGGAAGATACGCTGTAGAACCGACGTTACAAAGGCACGATTCGGCAGAATACACCGACAGAGGAAACAGTTTATATACGTTTATATTGAAAGACCATCATGTCATCGAATATTTCCAGGTTGAAAAGCAGAACGATGGAACGTATATCGTGCGAGCTACTCGATCGCAGCAGGACGCGCATAAACTTGAAAATGGCGAAGCAATTTCAGCTTGCAAGGTGAGAACGCTGAATGATGGTGTGGAGCACACTGTAAAGGCCAAGGCTGCAGCTCTGTTGCGATAGCTTAACCGCTTAGCCGGTTCGACATGTTCGACCCATCTCCATCTTTGATTAGAAGCTGTCATGATACTTCTCTTGCAAGGTTAGCTTCCAAGTCAATCGTCGTATTGGCAAGCGCCGTATCGTGGACTGGCAGGACTTTGTTTCGGTGGTCGCCCTCCTGTAGGGATGTAGTTTTGAGACCAAACCGGGGAGGACTCCGAAAAGTTCAAAGGCATCATATGCTACGGTGGCTTTGCTACAGCCTCAGGCCGTGTGGCGGAATACACATCACCTCGTAAGGTTATGGCAATGAGCCCAAAGACATTGACTTTTGGAACAAGCGGGTGCTGGTTATTGGAGAGCTCTCAGAGTCAAGTTCAGACACATACGCCGTTTATCACCGTTTTAAGTTGTATCCACTGACATCGAATCCAGGAGCTGGCGCCTTCGCCTTTGAGAATGTGCGAACATCAATTGAGCACGGAGCTCGACAGGCCACGCGCTCGCAGGTTGATTACATCACGGAACAAGGAAGCATCAAACGTAAGATTTGGTGAAGCGTTCCTGAGGTAACGCTGCTTGGTCGGCGAGATGGGACTACATGCCCGAAATGGATTGTCATTTGTCTGGCAGGGATGTTCCCATTCATCATTCATTATTTGTCCTGATAAGTTCTGACTTCGCATCTTGCCGCGTTCTGATGCTGAGGACATGATTGCGTTTCTTCGACCAATAGACAGCTCCATGCAGACGAACAAGGCGTGAGGGATGGTTAAATGCGTCCTCGCAAGATGGGGGCACAGCTGTTCAGGAGTATTGTGGAAAGAGAGCAGGCTGGAAACATGATCAGCTTTGAAGTGTGGCAGAAGTGCTACCAGGTGAGGAGGGCATTTCAGCAAATACTCTGACATTCTGTGTTCATCTGCATTGCCAGGATGCAGGCATAAGACCGCCGGGGTGCTGGTCAGAGGGTTTGTTGCTGCTTGGCACAGGGAAAGGCTGCATGGATGGTTGATCCGAAGGTCGCATAGCATTAGTACGGGCACAAGTCAATGTCACGGTAGATGAAGTTGCAACAAATGCGCAGCTGGTTCAAGGAAGCCACACAATCACACTATCTCAGTGTCTGGCACACAGGCATCGGGAGCTGCATCAGCGTGATTATGTGACTGAATCAGGTCTGTTTGCGCAACTTGCGTTCCAAGGTCCGACCTTGCCTTCATAGGTGGGTATCACGGCTTGGTTGATCTCAGGGTCGGCGAGATCGCTAGAATTCGTACGAACCACAGATATACCAAGGACAATGCCTAGATGAAACAATTGTGGTAGTTGGGCGCGCCTAGGTCAAGATGGAAGAGGCGTCCAATTAAGGGATGGGTCGGAGATCGATGTTGGCCTGGGACCCTGCTTCTGACAGAGCTGTTGCCTCACCGTCGTACAGCAAACTGTCGCAGAGCACCTGCCAAGATATCATCATCAAGTGCACCGGTTTCCATCTGAATGATGAAGTTCCAGAGGCTTGCCTACGACAGCTGAGAGACCCGGAGACATCTCAATTTGCCAGGTGGTGGGCAGCTCCAAGATGCAATCGTACGGGCTAATCGACTACAACCTCAACTATCAAGCGGCCCTCCCTGGCTTATCCTCTGTAGCCGTCTTGAAGCCTCTTCAGTGGGTTGTAGTGTGAGACTTGGGATTGGCACAGCGTGAGTGGACTACAGGCGGAGCCTTTGCTGGATCAAGGGCAGTGCCTGTCTTGCATTTAATCGCACCTTCGGTGCTCGTAGCAGCTTCCTGCGCGTAGCCCCGGTTTGATTGACATCCGATGCCTCAGGTTTGGCAGTTCCAAGTCAACAGATGCAGAGGCTGAGAACCCTGCGATGAGGGACGCTTGGCAGAGAGCGCTTGGAAGTGCGAACTGCATGCTCGTGGTAGCCAAGGAAATCGTGGAGCTATATCAAACAAAGGACTTCCTCAGGCCATGGGCCGGATCTGCTTGCCTTGCAGACTGTTTGCAGAGTCTGTTTGCAGAGACTGTTTGCAGATTTTGCAGTCACGCCTCATAGGACTCCCCCTCAGCCTTGGCTTTTTCTATCATGGCCAGACTTATGGGACCCATGTAAAGACATGCGTAGCTGCAAAATAGAAAGTCACCTTAGAACCCTAAACCCTCAGTGTGCGATGCGCGTGTCTGAAGCTTCAGAGCCTACCCCCCTACACCCTGAAGCTCCAAAACGGCGCTGGCTTGGCCCTCCAGCATTGAACAGACCAATTGTCTCCAGGGGGCTTGAACTTTATCGACGGATTGGCCTGGACGAGGCGCTTATAATTTCATTGACTGTGTTATTTTGTAAGCTTCCACCTTTGCCCGCTGTCTCGTTGAAGTGGCTAAAGCTGGGAGGAGCCCTTGAAGCCACAAGGCAACCCGTTTGGCTCAGGGCAAGGAGGTCCTATCGAGACCTGGTTGCATTTGGCCAGGAAGTAAATAGTAAAGCTCTGATTGAATCTTGTTTTTTTGGGTAATTCTTTTTGCTTCGTTTGGGTGATTGTTTTTGCTTTTAGGTCCCGCCTGCATTCTGCTGTTTGTTTTTTGCCTGCTGCTCTCCGCTCTCGGTTTGTCTGGTTTGCTTGTTGCTGCCAGTTTTTGTTTCATTTTTCATGCTTTTTGCTTTCCAAATACTGGTTTTGTTCACTGTTTTTGTTTTTTTGCTTTGTTATGTTCTGCTTCCTTTTTGTTCCGTTCTTCTTCTTCTTCTTTTGTTCTTCCGTGCTCACCGCTTTCTGTTTGTCTGGTTTTGGTTGCTGCTTTCCGCTTCTTGCGTTTTTCCTTTCCGCTTTTGCTTTCTGGTTCCTGCATTTTGCTTCTGCTGTTTTCTGCTTCCCGTGTTTTCTGTTTTTGCTTTCTGACTCCTGCTCACTTCTTCCGTTTCTGCTTTTTGTTTGTTGCTTTTTCCTTTCTGTTCGTTAGTTCGTTTTGCTTTGTGCTTCCTGCCTTCATCCCGCGCTTTCGACTCCCTGCTTTGTCTGTCCTGCTTTGCGCTATTTGGTCAGTGCTTTCTACTTCTTTTTTGAGCTTCCTGCTCTGTGCTTTTGCTGTCTGATTTTCGATGCCGTTTTCTGTCCGAAGCGGGTTGTTGCTTCATGCCTTGTCTGCTGCGCTGCA